AGTAGAGACGGGGTTTCACCATGTTGACCAGGATGGTCTCGATCTTTCGACCTCGTGATCCACCCGCCTCGGCCTCCCAAAGTGCTGGGATTACAGGCTTGAGCCACCGCGCCCGGCCGCGAGATGTTTAAGAGAAATACAAATCTTCAAGGTTTTTAAAGCCCATATACATTTTTCTGAAAAAGCCTTCCAAGAAATTCTAAGACACTCCTGATTAAGAACAATTGCCTTAAACAGGAAGTGGAAACAACCCAATGCACATATCTAGAGAAGCAATCTAAAAATTCAGGTACAAGTATGGACTAGGACATGGATAAATTAGGCAAAGCAATTCTGGCTACTTGTAACTTCCTTTTCTCTCCCACTCAAAAAAGAATCTTATTCAAATGCAAGCAAGAAAAATGACACTACAGAGATAGCCTTCAAATGCTCTCATTTATTTAAAAAGTAAATAATTTACAAAATAAATATCTTAACTCTTGCAACACATCACACAAATGATTGACACACCAGTGTGTCAACACCACAGTTGAGAATAGCTGACTAAACTGCACGTCTCTCATAAAGGTCCTGGGTGACAGACTTTGCCTGAGACCTGAAGGAGAAAATGGAGTTAACAACATATATTTTTCCAAATATCACCTCTACTCAATCTGGAGAAAAAGAAAATAAGAACTATTCTCTTTTTCCTCAAACCAGGTCTCTCATGAGCCAAAGTCTATTCCAATATGTCAGGCTGACTTTATTACTCCAACACATCAGGCTGACTTTGAATCAGGCCTTAAGAATCAAAGTATTCAGATGCGTATTCAACTGACATATGCACACAAGGTAAAAACTATAAAAGATTCTTGTAATAGGGATTCTGTTACCATGTGGGGGAAAAGGTAAGTCTTGGAAAAAACTTTCACATGCCAAGGTAAAATAAAGAAATTTTAAAATCTGTCCTAGATTATACAGGTATTAAAGTTAAAAACAAATGACAAGACCAAATCACCTGTCTTTTAAAAACAAAAATACAAGAGACCCAAAAATATGAATTTCAGAAAAACAGTTTTATCCCATGCAATATTTGGGTCATGTGCCTACAAACAAAATCATTTTCAGAGAACCCAGATGAGAAAAAGTTGGAACAAAAGGAAATTCTGAGTCCCTTAAATTGTATCTGAGCAAGATACTATGCATAACCTATATGTTCCCAATTATGATTCATTGTCTGGCCCCCTCCCTTGTCATTAGATTAACTCATTCCCTTTATCTGTGCCTATCATATATCACCTTAATTATTTAACACTACTGTTATTTCTACTTTTTCATGTGTTGCATTTCTGAAACATTCATGCTCATGTGTGGCTTTGTACTTAAAAAAAGAAGTCATTTGCTGTAGCTATCCATTCCCAACTTCCAGCTCTGTTATTAAAGATTAAGTTGCATCATACTAACTTCTACTTCCCCCTCCCTTAAGAAAAAAAAAAACCAGTTCTCTTGAAATTCACATTACAAACAGTTGGTGAGCAGTAAGGTTTACAAAAACAGTTCATTCCTGTACTTCCTATTGTGTGACACAGAAGAACCATACTAAAGAAAAACGTGAATAAAAACAAATTATCTAAATTTTAAAACATTTTACCAAAGACAACACTCATTATTAGTTAACAGAGTTATATGCCACACAAAGACATTTTGCTTTTTTACTGGAACAATGAGAAGGTTTAAATTCAGATATAAAATATCTAACTCTACTTACAGTAAACAAAATATAATCATAAATATACAAAAGCTATGCCTGCCCACTATGCATACCTTAGATGGGTTTGGTAACATTTTTCTTCACTATGTCTATAATTAATTATGTCAAAAGACTGTAATCAAGGTATAATTTTTTTAAAAAAAGCAACAAAAAGCAGCTTAATACATGCTGTGAAATCCTAAATAATCTGCTAACTTAGCTAAATAAAATTTAGAATCATATGTATATACATGATTCTAAATTATATTCTAAATTATATAATTTTGCTTAGACTATATCTGTTACTTTTACATTATAGATATCACATATTGAACTACATATACCTATTCATATATGATATCTTGTGAGAAATGAAGAAATATTCTTAAATGCTTTGTAATGAATAAAAGTACTTTTTGAGTTTTAATGCTACCTTACTAACAACATAATCTAAATTAGACAATGAAAAACTAAGCAATTTTTTTTGGTCACTCTTCCGGTTAAATTACTGTTTCAAAACAGAATGGGAATTTAGAATTTCATTAGTGAATCTTTTTCCATCTCTAAGGTCTTTATAACAGATTAAGGAAAAGTAAACAGATTCCTTTAATCATTTTTTAAAATTCCAGGCCTGATAGTTTTCTAATAACTGAATTACAATTTAAATAACTTGTTACATTTTAAATAGTCCCATTTTAATGCAACTCTTCAGGAAAGACCAAAAAACAAAAAGTTAAATCACCCTTCAACTTCCAAACCTTTAAAACTTTCCATTTCTTTAAACATTTCCTCCTCACATTTAGGGAATCCTTGGTCCTCACAACAGCACAAAATACAGTGTCAATGAACAAATTTAAATTGTAACACATTTTAAAATCATGTGAGTCTTAGAATAGTCTATATAGAAATGGTTGTTTTCTCTCGCATTTGAAAAAATTAGAAGTATTACATTCATGCAATATAGTAGTAATGTTTGATTAAATCGCCAGAAGGCTGAACTTTCTTACTTATGTTAGGTATTCTTCATTACTTCCAAATAAAATCTTTCTGATAACCAATAAATTAACAAAAGATTTGAAGTCATCTTAGCACTTACAATCTACACATGCTTGGAATTCATAAATGTACAGAATTATTTGAAAGTTTGGGGTCACTTAAGTGGGTAAAGGGAAAGTTGAAATAGTTTAAACTACATTTGTGTTCTCACAACCACAAACTGAAATCAAATGTCAAGTGAAACACCCCAATTTCCTTTTCTGCCTACAGCAATAGCTATAGCATTGTTCTGCTCAACGTTTTAAAGATTCTTTAAGCTTCCGACTTCCTCTTCTCTACTAGACATCGGCTTTCTTCTAAGAGTCACTGAACCAGGCAGTTTAGGGATGGGAGTCAAGTTCAGAAACGGGGTCCCCTCTTCATTCTCTTAGTACAGCATTTAATATATGTGTTTAGCCCTCTCTGCCTCTGCTCACGCTGCTTCCTCTGTCTGGAAAGCGCCCCCCACTCACCTTGCCAAAACCCTAGTAAAACTCCAAATCGAACCCAGGTTACTTGATTTATTTCCCGGCCCCGGCTCCTCTATCCCCTCAACCTTAAACTACAGGCAGCCCCAAACCACGTCTGTGTATACACGAGACCCTCTCTTGCCCTGCAATGTTTCTTATAAACTTATTTTCCCCCAAAGGAAGAGATTCGAGCATTTATTAAGGGAAAATATATATTCAAAAGTAATAAAGCTGTATTCAATCTTACTATTTTAAAGCACGGATATTCTAAAACTCCTCTTTTCCCGTATTTCCAGAGGGGAGGAGCCGGGGACTCAACGTCCCTATTCGTCAGATTGGAAACCTTGTGCTTTATCTCACAATAAAAACTACACATTTTTTTTTCTTTTAAATACAGAGTCTCGCTCCGTCTCCCAGGCTTTGGTGCAGGGCCGCGATATCGGCTCACTGCAACCTCCACCTCCCGGGTTCTAGTGATTCTCCTGCCTCGGCCTCCCCAATAACTGGGATTACAGGCATGCGCCACCACTATCGGCTAATTTTTGTATTTTTAGTAGAGACGGGGAGAGGGTGGCGTCTTACCATGTTGCCCAGGGTGGTCTCGAACTCCCGACCTCAGGACCTCCCGCCTCGGCCTCCCAAAGTGCTGGGATTACAGACGTGAGCCACCGCGCCCGGCCCACAGTTGGTCGAAGCAACATTAACACTTAAAATACCACGGATTTTAAAATCTGTGTTAAAATACCACGGATGATTTTTAAAGCCGCGCCACATTTTGTACAACTGTCAGTACAAGGGGGATCACCTCTTTGCATCTGATGAAATTAAATTAAAAAGGGGGAGAGAGCTTGCCCGAGGTCTGAAGGTTCCTCATTCCTGTTCTAAAACATAAAACCACCACTTCAATACATATCCATTTTTAAGTATGAGAACTCCTCGTACTCCTTTAGTTCGATTATGACTTCCCTAATCCTAAAATCAAGTCGGTGGGAATTTCTAAGGTTCCTGCTATGACAACAGAATCAAATTACCGAGCGTGGCTTGGATTTCGCACGCAAACCCTGAAGCAGGTAATTTTTTAAAAAGCTGACAATTTTACCATAAAAGATTTCAAAGACAGAACGCGCCCCAGCCAAAACTAAGCTCCCTGAACTCAGCGGCAGGACCCCCAGAAGTGCTCCTTCCCCCGGGAACACTCACCGGAGGCCATGGCTCCGCTCCCCGCGCCTTCCCGCAGGCAGCTCCCAGTGTCCCGGCCCGAGGCGGCTGCAGTCAGTCAGTCAGGAGGCCGAGGGAGCTCTGCGGCGGGGCCCCCAGTCCCCCGACCACCCCAGGGTCCTCCTCCTTCTTCCCGCCCTCGGCTGGGTTTGAGGCTCACACCTTCCCACCCCCTGAATTCTTGCGCTCCGGGTCGCCCAGCGTCGCCTGTCCACCTTGCGGGAGCCAGGGGTAGGGGGCGGAGCGGGGCGAGAACCGATTCCCAGCCCGGCCGAGAGGCGGGCAGCCTGGCGAGAGGGGAATTTCCCGCGGCTGACGTATACCCTGCTCGGCCGCCTTCACCCGGAGGCGTGGGGTGGGGCGTCCTCGCGGCCACCGCCGCGCGCGCGCGCGCGACCGCTCCCAGCGCCCCGCCCCCGCGCACGCTCTCTGTCCGCCCCCGCGCGTACGCCCCCGGAGCTGCTGCTGCGCGGCATCGGGAGGGGGTCGAGGCAGCGGGAACCTTGGGGGCTTCGGGAACTCAGGGAACGGCCGGAGCCGGGAGGTAACGGCTCGCGGCGTGAGAAGGCCGCCGGCTCCTAAGAAATCCCCCTCCTCCAGGTTGTTCTTCCGAGTGTGGTTTAAAGTTCAGGAGCGGGCGGAAGGGTGCGGGTGACGTAGAGAGGGCCGGCCGCCCGGGAGCCTTTGGGGGCGCGTCGGGCGGCCCAAGTGGGGCTGACCTTGCCGGCCGGGGAGGGCGACGGCCGGGGTTTTCGAGAGGTGGTTCCCCCTCTTCCCGATTTCGCACATGCAAATCTCCACCTCCGCGCCGGTGCGCGGGACTGTGGAGGGGGAAGTGCGGCAGCGGCGGGGCCTGTCTTCTTCTGTAATTCCTGCATTTGCATACGGGGACCTACCCCACCCCCCGGCTGATTTTTTTTCGTCCATCTAAATTGCGAGGGCACTGTGAACTTTACGTATTTTACCTGCTGAAACCCATGTAAACTGAAAAGGTCTGCACTTCGAGTTGGTTGTCTCATTACGCAGTGTACTCAAGATTAGTGAAGTGGACACTTTATTCCGAGATTTCACATAGATACCAAGAAAAGGGGATACCAAGAAAAGGGGAAATGGAGCAAACATTTAGTGCGATTAAAGGACCTAGGATAACTTCGTTACTTTCACTTGAATGGTACCTGCTATAGGTCAGATAATTTCTATACCTCATCTATGACATTTATTATTCCTAATTTTATAGCTGAAGAATTCGAGGTTCAGTACTTCAACATACAGTACTTCAGAATGCTGGTAAAAGAAGAGGCACAGTTAAAAGCCAGGGTTGTCTGACTCCAAAGTTCCGTGCCCTTGCCGCTATCCTTTACTGCTTAAAGTAAGTACGGAGAGGGAATGGGGAATATCAGCCTGACATACAAGTTCCCTAAACAGGAGGATCCAGGTGGGGAAATAATTTAAAATATCCTGTCAACCCCAAACTCTTCTTTCCATGAAATGCACAATGTACAACAAAAGAATGAGACCGTTTTATTGGATGTATGCTAAAACATACTGTGATGCACATCACAGGCAGTCCACTGAAGAGAGTGCAAAGACACACACACACAAAAAGAAAGAAATCTCACCCTTTCATTTGATCAGGTGCAATCCATGACACACCTGTTAATCGTCTTTATTCAATGGCTAATAATGGGAAGTTATATCTTGGAGCCAGGAGTGAAGACTTAAGCCCTCCTAGAGACAGAGAGAGACATGGAGCACCATCCTTGATGTTCACAGTTCCGAAAGATGGCTCCAAGGCCCCCAGGAAAGACCTTCTTAGGATGTAAAACTAGCAAGAGGCTTATTTAGCTTTTTAAAATATGTACATTTCAAAGAGATGGAAAACATTTACAATTTCAGTCTTCTGAAGGAACTGCCAAATGAAAAGTGAATGAGGGAGAGGAATATTCTGAGGAGGTGACATTTGAACTGAGTTTTCGGTATAAGAGGCATATACAGGGAGATTGAGGGAAAGAACATTCCAGTTGGGGAAACAGCAGGCAACAGGTCCTTGAGATAGGAAAGAGCATAGTCAAGAATTGTCCCACGCGCCGGGCACAGTGGCTCAAGCCTGTAATCCCAACACTTTGGGAGGCCGAGGCGGGTGGATCAAGAGGTCGAGAGATCGAGACATCCTGGTCAACATAGTGAAACCCCGTCTCTACTAAAAATACAAAAAAAATTAGCGGGGCGTGGTGGCGCATGCCTGTAATCCCAGCTACTCAGGAGGCTGAGGCAGGAGAATTGCCTGAGCCCAGGAGGAGGAGGTTGCGGTGAGCCGGGATCGCGCCATTTCACTGCAGCCTGGGTAACAAGAGCGAAACTCCGTCTCAAAAAAAAAAAAAAAAGAATTGTCCCTCATTCTCATGACCTTCCAATGTCTCACAAACATTCATATGTAGGTGAAACACCTATTACAATAATGTATGCCTAGAACACAACTCCTTTTCATATGTAAATAGAAAATATTTTGGTAGGGTTTTTTTTTTTTTTTTTTTTTTGAGTTGGAGTTTTTGCTCTTGTTACCCAGGCTGGAGTGCAATGGCGCGATCTCGGCTCACCGCAACCTCCGCCTCCTGGGTTCAAGCAATTCTCCTGCCTCAGCCTCCTGAGTAGCTGGGATTACAGGCACGCACCACTATGCCCAGCTAATTTTTTGTATTTTTAGTAGAGACGGGGTTTCACCACGTTGACCAGGATGGTCTCGATCTCTCGACCTCGTGATCCACCCGCTTCGGCCTCCCAAAGTGCTGGGATTACAGGCTTGAGCCACCGCGCCCGGCTTTGGTAGAGTTTTAATATACACTATATTGAGGGCAGACTGTTTCATTCAAAAATGTTTTAAAAATTGGAAAATTGCAACTCTGATAGCTTATCAATACAACACAGTGTGCCAGGTGTGGTGGCTCACACCTGTAATCTCAGCACTTTGGGAGGCCAAGGTGGGTGGATCACGAGGTCAGGAGTTCGAGACCAGCCTGGCCAAGATGGTGAAACCCCGTCTGTACTAAAAATACAAAAATTAGCCGGGCGTGGTGGCGTGCACCTGTAATCCCAGCTACTTGGGAGGCTGAGGCAGGAGAATCGCTTGAACTCAGGAGGCGAAGGTTGCAGTGAGCTGAGATCACACCACTGCACTCCAGCCTAGGCGACAGAGTGAGACTCCGTCTCAAAAAAAAAAAGAGAAGAAACCGGGCGCGGTGGCTCAAGCCTGTAATCCCAACACTTTGGGAGGCCGAGGCGGGTGGATCACGAGGTCAAGAGATCGAGACCATCCTGGTCAACATGGTGAAACCCCGTCTCTACTAAAAATACAAAAAATTAGCTGGGCATCGTGGCGCATGCCTGTAATCCCAGCTACTCAGGAGGCTGAGGCAGGAGAATTGCCTGAACCCAGGAGACGGAGGTTGCAGTGAGCCGAGATCGCACCATTGCACTCCAGCCTGGGTAACAAGAGCGAAACTCCGTCTCAGGAAAAAAAAAAAAAAAAAAGAGAAGAAAGAAAATATTCATGTAAGGTAGATTACGAATTTCACTTCAAGCTACTAAAGGGGATGTTACAAATACATGTTATAAAACAGTGGGCACTGATCTGAAAAGGCAGAAAACCATTACTCTTGGTACTAAAGAACTTACCTTAAACATATGAAAATAATTTTTTTAATGATGCAGCAGTTGAAAAGTCAAAATCCTCCAAGAAACAAACAAATCTGATTAGCAAATGGATTTGTTCTGGGTCTGTGATCTCAGAATACGAAAAAGTAAGAGTGAGGGGTCAAAAGTGAAATTGCTCCACAAGAGACTTCTTTTGTTGAAAAAACAAGACACCCATCATTAAACTTAATGAATACAGTAACAACAGTTTCAGAATAAATTCAAACGTTGTGGTCACTATAGGCTCGTAGAACTGGAACAAACATAATGTTATTTTGTCAGACTTAAGCTTTCCCAAGCAGGAACTGAAGGCGGCTGAAGTCCTCATTCTAGGAACGTGCTAGTATTTGTTTAGGACTCTTAGTGTGGGGTGTGGATAAAATAATTTGTGCTCAGAATCTGCAGTAGTTAAGGCCAAGGCTCAGGCCTAGTGGAGAACAGGGCTCAGAGAAGCCTCATTAGAGTGTCATCAAGGAGAGAGTCTTTGTAACCCACCACCCAGATTAAGATGCAGAATGCTTCCAGCCACTCACAAGGCTGCCTCAGGGCTTCTTCTAGTCAATATCCGCCCCTAAAAGGCACCGGATATTCTCACCTCCTTGACAGTAATTAGTTGTATCTGTTTTTGAACTTGATATAAATGGATTCGTACAGTGTATACTTGTTTAAGTATGACTTTCTCACTTAACACTATGTTTATGTGTCATGTCCATACTGCGTGACAGTAGTACATTCTTTTTCATTATTGGGGAGAAATCCATTTGTATGAATATAGCACATTTTATTTATCCATTCTACTGTTGATGAATATTTGAGTTGTGTCCAGTTTGGGGATTATTAGAATAAAAGTGCCTTAAACATTGTTGTTCATGTTTTGGTGGATATAAGCATTTATTTCTCTTGGTATACACCCGAGAGTAGTACTGTGGGTCATATGGTAAATACACGTTAGTTTTAGTAGACACTGTCAGGTTTCCAAGGTTGTTGTACCAAATTATACTCCCACAAAATAACTGAAGAGAATTCAATTTGTTTCACTAACATTTGGTATTGTCCTTTTAATTTTAGCCATTCTGATGGAGGTGTAACAATACCTTCTTGTGGTTTTTATATACATTTTCCTGATAACTAGAGCTGCTGAACACCTTTTTACAGGTTTAATAGTCATTTGGCTATCCTCCTTTGCAGAGTAACTCTTTGAGTCTTTTGCCCATTAAAAAAAAAATTGGATTATCTTTTTCTTATTGATTTGTAGACATTCTTTATATATTCTGGATATGTGTATGCCAGTTGGATTTTTTGAGAAGCAGGTGCCAATATGAAATTAGCAGTGCAAGAGATTTATTGGGGCTGACATCTATGAAAGATAAAAGGGAAAGAAAAAAGTTACAGATAGGGAAAAATCTTAAGATGTTGGTCTGATACTGGTGGGAAGAAAGGGGGAAGGAAGGTTAGTTTGGTAGAAAGAGAATGGGATGGGAGTACATCTCTGATGAAGTCTCCGTCAATCCAGTGGGGAGCTCTACCACTGTGCACAGAGATAGTGAGCCCTTACATTACCTCTGTACTTATAAGTGGCTAAGTGGCCCCAAGGAAATTTGTGGCCTTGGCTTGAAAGCTGAGGCAGATCCTCTCTAGAAGGGAGATCTGAGCAGAGCACCTCTATGGATGCCACAGGGTTGTTATCAGATACATGCATTTCAAGTGTCGTCTCCTAGTATGTGGCTTGCCCTTTCATTATCTTAGTAAAGATTTTTAACTTAATGTTAATTAAGTCCAATTTATTTTCTTTGATAGTGTTTTTTGTGTAATGTTAGAGAACTCTTCCTGGACTAAGGTTATGAAATTATTTTCCTATGTTTTCTTCTAGAAGTTTTGTAATAGTAATGTTTAACAGAGGCTCTGAGAAACATTTGCTGAAATCTCTCTGTCCCACAACTAAAGGCCCTGGCTTTGCACACACACAGTCCTGGATTTGAATCTTAGCTTGGCCTAGATTGTTAACTGTAAGACTCTGGGCAAGTCCCTTAGCCTCTCTGTGCCTGTTTGCTTGTCTGTAAAATAGGAGTAGTAATATGGCATCTACCTCACCGGCTTCTTCTGAGGAGTAAATGAAATCACTAATACAAAGTGCCTGACACAGGGAAAGCACTTAAAAAATGTTGGCAGGTTTTGTTTACATCGTGTTAAAAAAAATGTTGGCAGGTTTTTTTCCTGTTTTATTATTTAAAAATTTTGTGGCCAGGCATGGTGGCTGATGCCTATAATCCCAGTATTTTGGAAGGCCAAGGTGGGAGGATCACTTGAGCCAGGAATTCAAAACCAGCCTGGGCAACAAATTGAGACCCTATCTCTACAGAAGAGTTTTTATTTTTTAATTAGCTAGGTATGGTGGCACACACCTGTGGTCCCAGCTACTTGAGAGGCTGAGGAGGGAGGATTGCTTGAGCCGGTAGGTCAAGGCTACAGTGAGCCATGATTCTGGCACTGCATTCCAGCCTGGGCAACAGTGTGACCCATCTCAAAAAATAGAATAAAATTCAAATACACAGCCAAGCTGAAAGAATTTTGCTGGGAATATATATATATATATCCACTTACTAGATTCCACCATTAACATTTTACTGCACTTGCCTTATCACCTGTTTATTTTTCATCCCTCTGTCCACTCATTCATCT